TTGGGTTCCTGAAACTGCTTGGATAGGGCAAGGTTCTGGGGAGAGACCACAAATGCAGTTTGCACATGCTGAATTTTAGGTGCCTGTAAGCATCCAAAAGAGATTATCAAGTAAGCCAGTCATCTGCTGAGCTTGGCAGAGAAATTAGGCCTGGAGTTGTAAATTTGGGAGGCATTGGCACAAGATGGTGATGGAGGAGATGGTGTGCGTGGTGTTGCCTAGAGGGGGCCTGAAAAAGAACTGATGGACGCGCCCAAAGCTGCTGTATGTCAAGGTGAGGCCAAACACCCGCAGGCGCAGGCATGACACCGATGCTATTTTTGACCCCAGTAAGCGCCGTCCCAGAGTGAGGGTGCTGAATGCCTGATGGAGTCTGGGAGGTGGGCTGAAAGGTGAGGAAACAGAAGCAGTGCGCCTGGAGCCCTTTGAGAAGCTTCACAGAAAAGAGGAGGCGAGAGAGGGCGGGAGCTGGGGGGAGAGTAAGGTTGGGAAAGGGGGAGGTAAGCTTTCTTATTGGAAATGAACAGCTTCTAATGAGCACAATCAAAAATTAAGCTTTGAGAATAACCAGGCCATATAAAAGAGCCAATGTTCACTAAGTCAGTTTTCCCAAATCTCGCCCTCATTGGCAAGTGGTCTTTGGCCAGGACGTACTTGCTTGTTAATTGCTGTACTTCCTATGTAATCATGCGTTCATAATTCTCTTATGGGCACATGGCTGAAAAAGATTCAAAGGGAGACCTGAATTCCTTTCCCACAGATCACCCACTTTAGGACAGGACAGCTACCAGAAAGGTTTTTCCGTAAGCCCTGGACCACATCTTTATTTTGCATTCTGGAATGTGTGTCCCAAAGTGAGAACGATGCTCAAGGGAAGAGGATTTTGCAAGTTCCACGTTTTTCTCTTTATGCTCCTATTACAGTCGCAAACACCTATCCTCTTCAGCATATTTCACTCCATATTTCTAAAGATACTAATTAAAGAGGGGAATGTGGGCCACTCTATGGAGTGTAAGACATGCTCTTCAAGTTGACTTTGAAAGGTGATTAATGACAGCAGTGTCTGTTCAGTTTCAAAAGCTCAAATTAAATGTACTCCAAAAGTCTTATTAAAGGGAATGTATTTTACACACCTGTCACTTGTGAGAAGGGCTGATTGAAGTCAAAATTATGAAGGAGGTGAGGCTAATCATTAGAACTGGCACACCCTACTCTCTCGAATGAGTCTTCCAGTAACCCTTGAATGGCCCTGTCTTAAGCACCCCGTAACTAATGCTCTATGAGTTGTGTGATTCTGGGATTAATGTGATTCAAAGTTGGAAAGGACTTGAGAGCCTGCTGAGGCCGAGCCACAAGGCAGCGAGGCTGAGTCCTCAGTGAGGGAGGGCATAGTTAAGGGATGCCTGGAGGGCTTCGGGCCCCCAGGCCAGTACTGAGTCTGCTATGGTGGGAGCGGGTGAATTCTGGCCTGGGCCAAATGCAGCCCCATGCCTGGGTTTGTAAATAGTTTTACTGGGACACCGCCTCACCCCTCATTTACCCGTCTTCTATGACTGGTCTCCCTCCACAGCCACAAAGCCAACTAGTTGCTACAGACACAGCATGGCCTGCAAATCTAAAATATTCAGTACCTGACCTTTACAGAAAAGGTGCGAAGGCCTGTGCCTGTAGCACTGGCTCCAAACCTGGCTGCACTTTAGAACCACTTCTGAAACAAGTACGGAGTGCTGGGCCACACTCCAGACCTTCTCATCCCCGATCTCAGGATGGGATCTGGGAATCAGCATTTGTAAAAAGGTGATTCTAATGCTCAGCTATGCCGTGTCACTGCATTACATCATGCTACCACTCAAGCACACTGCCTTGAAAATGCATTTCAGGCTCTAAGCGTATTTTTTATATGGGACGCAAAACTGGATAAAGCTCTCCACAGTGGGGGGCTTCACAAACTTTTGCTAGTATCACAAGCCCTGGAGGGCTCGTTAGAGCTCCAACGTCTGCGTCCCACCCCCGGAGACTCTGACAAGCAGGTCTGGGGTAGGGCTGGAGAGCTGGCGTTTCTAACAAGCTCACAGGTGCTGCTGAAGCCGCAGACCTGCGGCCACACTTGGCACAGCGCTGACTTAGGTCCCAAGGGCTTGCACCTCTACCGAGCAGATGTCAAGTCCTGTGAGTCATGGGATGGCGCTGGGGATACACTTAGACTGCCTGCTGGGACTGTTGAGACCACGCTGTGAAAACCCGCACTCCCTGCTCAAATCACTGTCTGCTCCTCTTCCAGCCCGTCTATGAGGCTGGAAATCAAGCCATTCCTGTACCAGAGCTCCACTCCTATACAAGTTTTCTTTTGTTGTTTTTAAATTACTCAGAGAATATTCTGAGTCTTGCAACTGTATTTTGAATGGAGAGAAGCGAGATAGTGCATGTGAGAAAGCTTCAGGCATAAAAGAAAGCGGACTGTATGTTGCAGAAGTACAAAAAGCCTGTAGAAGTTGAATAAATATTTGTAGAAATCATGAAGGCAAAACCACAAAATGATGAAAAGGCAACAGAGAGAGGCAGAAACAGAGGGCTTTGGAACCACAAAAATGACTTTATTTGGAACCAGAAAGCAACAGCAATGGTGAGAATAGTCTGGGTTGAGGGCTTGGCAGTGTGACTCAAGTACCGGGGACTGAATTTGTTCAGGTGAAAGGAGTGACATGGAGAGAAGTGGTTTTTCACTTCTGAACTAACCAAATCACAACTGGATCTCATGACACTTACCAGTGAATTCACATTTACACAGGCCTGGCTTGTTTTTCAGATTTCTGTAATGATTTTGTAAATAGTCTTTAAGTGAAGGAGCTGCTATAGTGAGTTTCGGTGTCACCTTTTCTTTTTGATATATCAGGCATTGAATCAATTATAAGTGAAAAAGATTGGTGAGAGTCTTGCTTTTTTTTTTTTAAAAAAAACCAAAGAACAAGAGTTTCTCAGCTGAGGCACTACTGATACTTTGGGCCAGATCATTCTCCGCCGTGAGGGGCTGTGCACTGCAGGACGGGGTGCAGGCTCCCTGGGCTGCGCCCACTGGATGCCAGCAGCACTTTCTCCCAAGCGGGGACAGCCAAAAATAACTCCAGACACGGCCAGACCGCCCCCTTGTCGAGAAGCACCATTTTGAAAACATCCTCTCACCCCCATCATCGTCTTTGTATCCTTTTTAACATTCTGTAAGGGTGGATCAGACTGCCGTCCCAACAGCCAAAGCACACGGGCGTGAGTCTCTGCAGGCACTGCAACGTGCCTGGGGCCAAGACGAATCACGCACTCACTGGAGGAGACTGGCTCGGGTCCTCGGCGAGCTCAGCGTCAGTGCTGTCAGTACCATAGTAAGGCGCCTGTTTGTCTTCGGCCTCTTCCTCTTCTCCAGCAGAAATCACCATCAATATTCATGGTCAGTTTTTGAGGTCATTTTCTTTCAAAGCTGGAAAGAACATCTTCACCCAGGCCCACTCCCATCTTAATCCATTTAGAGTCCTACTTGAATGGTCTGGTCGGCCGCTTCTGACACTGGACCCAGGTTTCTTCATTTATCTCCACCAGGAAGAGAGGTACCATGTTTCTGAGTCTGAGGACTGGCTGCATAATTTCTGAGGCCCGGTACCAAATGAAAAAAGGCAGGTCCCTTGTTCAAGAATTACTAAGAATTTCAAGACAGCGACAGCACCGTTCGTTATCTAGACCCACGACACTGGACCTGGTGGCCTTGGTTGGCGCTGTGTCGGTGTTTGTGGTATGAATCGCCACTGCCCCCTCTTTCTCCCCTGCATGGAAATGTTTCCTGTGAATCAAAGACCTCAGAAACGAAATACCGCAAGCCCAATCCTTTTAACAACTTCTTATACTGCAGCAAATGTTTATAGCATATATTTTTTAGACTTTCAAAAAAATCCACACGGAAATCTTTTCTAAATCATTACAGTCATGAAAACAAACACTGTGGCCTTTCACCATATACATACTTGCCTGTAAATACGACAACATGGAAATAGCAACTGCTCCTATGCACAGTTTTTAACTTAGTAAACAGACTTCCACAACAAAATGGTAACATAGTCCCTTTCATCCTTATAAAAATATCCAAAACATAACCAAATGGCTTGCAGTGAAAATCTGAGTAGTAATTCCTTTATATTGAAAAACATTATATTCATGGAAATAGTGTCCTCTTAAATGCTTTACATTTACATCATAAGGCAAACTGCAACATTTATGGGTACCTGGAGACCATGATTTAAAAAACTCAGAAGCTGAGTTTCAGACCCTTTATTTAAAACCTGTTAGTGTACAAAGTGCATTAAAATATCCATTATCCAGCTACTAAAAACAGTATGTAAAAATTACTGACACAACCCTTTCAGTTTATTCAAAGAAGGCAAACACACATCGTTTTTACTTGTAAAAAAAAAAAATCCCAGTACATTTCCAGAGAATGATTAATTTTTTCCCATTGAGGTGTCCATCTTTTAGATGTGAAATTGTCCTAAGAAGCTATCAAAATATTCATCTAGGTATAAATAATATAGTAAATATATAGACTCTGTTACGAAAAAGGTGAGCATCTGCCGAAGACGAGGACAGAAGCGCTTGGGCAGCCGCCCATGACATCCGGAACGGCGGCTCTACGGACAGATTTCAGAGAAACAACTGGCTGATTTGGCTAAAATCACTAAAAACGATGCCTAAAGTCCAGCCACCCGTTCAGTCACAATGGCCAGCCAGTAGCCCAGATAAACATTTTGGCAAATGAAATAGTTTACAGATGTCATGCCCTTCGTCCAGGCGGAACCAAGGCCAGTTTCCTGGTGCAGGTTTAAGGGCTGCCTAGGGAAACCCGAGTTCGAGGACGGCTCCAATGTGTCGGATCAGCACGCCAAGAAGCCCATCGGACATTTGATTAGCAGGTTCTAATTATTAGCAGGTTCTCAGGTGGGATTAATGTTTCGTTTTTTGTGTGTTTTTCGTGTTTTTTTGTGTTTTTTTTTGTTTTTTGTTTTTGTCTTATAACTATGTTAAACTATACTAGAATACAGAGGGACTTCTACATTTTTCAAGATGTGCTCTTTAGAATAACTTTTGAGGCACATACACAAGTGAATAATTCCTTATGCAACGTCCCTTGTCATTACCAATGCATAAATATTGTTTTTCGGTGACATATTTGGACGTGGTAGTGGCAGTCGGGGCTATGTGTCGATGTCCTGGAGAACAAAATCACACAAACGGTGCTGCCGTTTGGGACAGAAACTATTTCCTCAGCCCCAGCTATGAAAGAAAAGTGACTTGGGGGAGGGGGCAACAGGAAAGCTTTTAAATGTAGTCATGAAACTTCACAGGCAGAAAGAAACTATGAAAAGGAAGAATGAAATAGATTTAGATCACAAAACAGAATCCTACCTCTCATAAAACAGAACTCAGCCTGAATTTCCTTATAGTCAGCAGGACTCAAAGTACCTATTTCCAATTGCAGTGCCATTCTTAATGTTCTCCCAGAATCCTTAATCCTGGGAAAAGCCCGGCATTCTGCTCAAAAGGGCTTAGAACCTTGCTTTCCAACATCACCCCACAAGCCATCAGAGGGTAATTAAAGGGTTAGCCATGGCAGATTCCATGACCCAAAGTCAATTCTTTCATTCTCTCTTTTGCTCTCTGTTGTAGTAGATCCAATACAAGTTTTGGACACCACAGTTAAAACACTTCAAAATAAATCAGAGTAAGAAAGAAAGCCCATTCACTTCCCTACTAGGTTCAAAAATAGTTGTAGATTCTGCCTGCAGTGTCGAGGTGACAGGACTTAAGACAGGATCAGTATGAAGTATTATAGTGTAAGAGGGTGAATATAAAACTATAAAAGTTTTCTCAAGCCCACAGACTGTGATGAGATAAAGGTTGAAAAGAGCTGGTGAAGTTATGGGCCTCTTAATGTGCAAACCTAAATAATTCCTAAGAGTTGTAATCCCGGGTATGTTTCTTTTATAAATAATCTATAAATTTTCCTGTAAATACAAAAAAAATTTTTGAAGAAATTATTAAAGCCTGTACTTAATACAAAACACAGTAAAAGGGGAGGAATCGCCTGTTGAGTCCTATCTTAGCCAATTTCTGGACACTTTTTTGGCGAGATTTAATCACACTCTGGAAGCCTGTGCTTTTGGGGGCTACAACCCTTTTTATTCCCCAGAAAGCAGCTCCATGCGGCCAGGGGGCTCAGGGCAGCTGCTCTGTGCAGTCCAGATGGTCTGGGATCGGAAGGCCAGTTATAATGGTCAAACATTTGTTCCACACAGTGAAGGTGGGGCACACAGGCTGCGAGAATGTGATGTCAAAGGTGTAGAGGTGGATGGAGTTCAAAGCATCGTAGAAAGCGATGGAGCCGTTATCATAGTCCAGCAGGATGCCCACGCGCCGGAGGTGGGGGGCTGGCTCGATGGGGATCTCCTTGCTGTTGTGTCTCACCACCCAGTTATTGTGGCAGCGGCACAGCGCCCAAGAAGCAGAGTTCTTCCCAATCCACTCGTGCTTCGGGGCAGACTTGTAAGCGAGGCCAATGGCATACCTGTAGAAACGAAACAGCCACAAGAGAAACGCTGAGCTGCGCTGCGCGTGCGTGCCCACTCTGCTCCCTGGTACTCTGGGGTCGGGCACACGTGATCCTGTTCTGGCCCAGCGTGCTCCTCATCTTCCCGCCCAGACATACAGTGGACAGAAAGGGGCCACTCTATTTACCCACTTTCCTGTTTCTGGAAGAATTTGAACTTTGTGTCTTCCTGCCTTTTTTTTTCTTTAATGCTCATGAAGACACACACACGATGAGTTCTCTCGAGCAGCGCTGTCCAACAGAACTTTCTCCAAGGATTAAAATGTCCTGCTTTGTTTGATATGGTAGCCAAAAGCCACATGTGGCTATTGGCCCTGAATTGTGGCTGGTGAGACTAAGGAGTTGAACTTATTTAATTTTAGTTAAGTAAGATTGTTTAAGTAGCTGCATGTGGCCTATAGCTACCATACTGGACAGCACAGCCCTAGACATCTCCTTTTGACCTTTGAAATTTTCAACTGGCACCATGTCTGTCATTTTCCACAACCTGAGTGCATTTTGTAGAAAGCAAGCAGGGAGGGTGGTTTTCATGGAGGGGGACAAGATCCTTCCCATCTCTCAGCCTCACTTTTCTCATCTATAACACAGGCGCAGTGGCAGTCTCCATCTCAGAGGGCGATTTTTGAAGAGTAAAGGAAAGAATACATGTAAAACCCTGGGGCACAAGGCCTGGCCTGAGATATTCAGCAATGGTTATTTTATTATTTTTGCCCAGTAACGCCTTACTAGGAAGTACCAGAATCACAATTTGAACCTAGGGTGACTCAAAGGCCACAAACTTCAACAACGTTCTCGAATGCCTCTCAACAGAAATGGCGTAATTCACCACTGCCAAGAGCCCTTCTGATTAGAGCTCCTACACTGAAAAACACTCCCACTGTCTTTGAGAGATGGATATACTGGTTGTTCCAAATGTTCTCTCACTGCTCAAAAAAGAATTCTTTCTACCATGTTCTAGTAAGCTTCTTACTCTCTTTTCACCCCACTGAGGTATGCCTCTGAATATTTGTAATATTTCACAGTTATTAAGGTAAGCAAAACCCATCATTCTTAATAAAGAGTGAATAGTTCAGAGTTCAACTTTTAATATTCATAGCAGAAACCAGTCTACCTGGATATTGACATATGGACCTCACCCAATGCAGACAGGAAAACTTCACTGATCTTTGATAAGATCACACGTTGGATGTAAAATACAATCACTTTAAGAGTGGTGTGTTAAAAAAGCAAATGAATATAACATGAGATCACGGAACGTAAAGAGTCGGTGGAATTGCTAGTCCATTAAGCCCAGTGTGGTGGCCTGCCTGCTGGTAACTTGGCCTCCTCTCTTCCGTCTCCTAAATCCTGCTCTGCACCATGGGGAGCGTCTGGGGGTGGCATTTTCCAGAATCCCCTTGCCAGTAGGAGGCTGGGACAGGTTCTGCCATTGTGACACCCTTGCACAAGATCCAGAAGCTCTGCGGACAGGGGAACTGGTCTTTTCCAGATGCAGAGATGGGGTTTACGGCAGCTCCCGGAGGAAGTCCTGGGAATACTTGCCTCTGGGCTGCGGGCACCCACAGCTGTGGTGGCTGTGTGGGCTGCAGCGGAGGCTCCCTGACCTGGGCTCCCAGCCCTTTCAGGCTCCAGGAAGCCTCTGGGTCCCCTCCTCCTCAGAGTGCCTAGACCGACTTCTGTTTCTCTGCTGGACCCTACCTACCTGAGACACTTTGGGAAGGTTTCCATTTTTGCAATTCTAAGTATTTCCCCAAAGATGCTCTCTGTGCTCTGGCAGACACCAGGTCCACTTTTCAGAGAATTGGGAACCTGCACCTGCATCCCAAAATAGCCCCGGGTCTCCACGTGTCCTTGCTCCTGCGGGACGCCACTTTGAGTTTTTACTAAAGAACACCGACGTTTATTTCCCGTTTGAACTTTAACTGAACCCCTTCTGAAGTAGCTATGGCAAGTATGACTGACTTCATTTAGCAAGTGGGAAAACACAGAGAAAGGTTAAAATGAGAGCGAAATCTAGAATCTCGACCCCACCCCTTGACTTCTGGCCCTGTAATCTTCATGTGAACCCACACTTAGTTAACACCATTTCATAGAAAACCAAGTGTGCATTATCAGCACTAGAGAGTAAAAAAATAACTATGTGGATAGTCCAATAAGCAAAGGGAAATACCATTATAGTATCATTAATCTGTAAAACTATGTACATTGTTTCCATTGAGCTTGAAAGGTGCTGGCAGAAGGTAATGTTCCATTAAGTTATTTGGTGAGATGCAGAGAATTCAAAACATATAGAAATGATGTTTCTCAGAGCAGTGTTAACATGTCCTATTGTGAGGATCATAACATACATGTGAATTTCAAGTCAGGGCTATATTTCATGAGAAAATATATGTGTCATTAGCTGCTGCAAATCAAGGCAGTGCAGGCACTTGATAGAGGGGTCACTCCTTCTTTGCTGACAGTTACCAAGAAATGTTAAACTACTTTCTACATAAGAATTTTCTGAAGTTGACACAATCAGGTTTGTAAAGACCCAAAGTGTAGCAATTAATTGCAGAATTTTTTCCCCCCTCATGAGTTGGTTTTGACATCTGGATGGTGTTTTCAAGGTAATGCTGATCTGTGTTTATAAAACTGAAGTGGTCTGGTAGGATTTCCCACACCATTCATCAATGGGAATGAGATCATAATGATCAGGTATCATTTATCATGAATAATTATTAATGGGGTTATAATTATTTAGACACTGGATTCCATCCTAGGTTAATACAGTACGTTAATTAACTAGAAATGTTTGCTCTTTTGCACCTGCAAAAATTCATTGTCTTTTCCTTTGGGCTTTTCTCTTGTGCCAGTGCAGCTGAAAAACTGTAAATGCTGCTCTGGACCAGAGCTGAGGATTTGTTCTCCATCCTCCAGCAGGACGTTCAAACAGAGAAAGGTTCTGGGCAAAGAGAATCGTGAGGATCACAGTAGAAGAAAACCTACCTGCTTGGCTGATACAGGTACCACTGTTGGGAGGCATGAGACACCCAACCTGATGAGTTTACTTCTCAGATGTCAGTTGACCTGTACCAACACTATAAGGCACTTAGACACAATGCATTACTTGCATAGATTTGAACTGAAAGGGTTTTTTAAATAAATAAGAAGGGTTTTAATTAGCATCCTTCTCTCAAAAATAACACTGTTACAATACTCATCATCTTCAGGTTATACACTTTTGAGTGGGGTTTTTTTTCAAGCAATGATTAAACTATCACTCATGAAGTATATCACTGTAAGGCCCAAAAAGTAATTATAAGATTTCAAAAATACAGAATGGTGGTTATAAGCAGAGATTGACAAACCTTAACCCACTAGGCCAAAGCTGGTCACCTGCTTGCTTTTATAAATGAAGCTTTACTGGTGCACGGCCATGCCCATTCATGGGTGTAGGGACTACAGCTACTTCCCCACTACAGCAGGAGAAGGAAGTAGTTATGACAAAAATCATCTGGCCTACAAAACTGGAAGCAGAGGCTCTCTGACCCTACACAGACAATGGTTAAGAGCTTGGACCACAGCTGCAGACTTCCCACCCCTGCCCCCTATGAGCTTTGTCACCTTGTGACCTTAGGCACATACCTCATTCATTCATCTGTAAAATGGGATCCAAGCACCTACCTTTGTGGGGCTGTTAGGATGAATACATGAGTTAACATCTGTAAAATGCTTAGAACAGTGCCTGGAACATAGTGCCAGATGAGGGCTGGTTAAATAAAAGTAGAATGGCTCCCTTTCTGAGCAAGGGCAAACAGGTATTGGTGAGATAGCCAGCAGTCAGGGGTACCATTGGTGGCTGTGGTATAAGCGAGGTCAGCTTTGTGAGGTTAACTTGGCAAAGTTAACTAACTCCAGTGTAGAGTGCACCCTGACCGTCACCCTTACGCCTAGAGGAGTCAGCGGGCTAACGTCACTGCGCTGGGCTGGCTCTAACAGACCTTTTGAAATGATTGCCAACCTGTCGTCACTGCTTCACCCCCAGCCTTCAGCCCTCGGCTTTGCACTAACTGGCCCAGTCTACAATCACAAAACGTACACGGCAACAGAAATGACTTTTTTTAAATGATGAAGAGTAGTGTTTGGGAACAGGAATTGGCAAATACTTTCTGTAAAGGGCCAGAGAGTGAATATTTTTGGCTTGGTAGACCGTAAGGATTCTATCTTAAATACTTAAATCTGTGTGGTCAAATCAGCCACAGATTTCCACCATGTGGAAAAGAATGGACATGGCCGTGTTCCCATAAAACTTTATTTACAAAATCAGGAAGCGGGTTAGGTTTGGCCCAAGGGCTATCATCTGCTGACCTGTGTTTTAAGGTATGAAGGAGCAGTCTTAGCATATTAGCTCTCCCAGGGACCAGGAATCTATCATCTTAGCTGCAATTCTCACCATGGATTAAAAAATGGACAGACTTAGGACTTTTCTTATTGGCTAAATGGTAGATTAGATGATTGTTTGGCAAATATTCATTCCCTCTTCTCACCTCCAAGGGAGGAATATACCTCCCTGTATCACTGGCTTTGGGCTTGGCCTTGGCCACTGGCCTTGGCCAATGGGAACTTACTAGATATGATGCAAGCAGAGGCTGGAATGTGCTTGCACAGTTGGGCTTATACTCTTGAGCTCCTTGAGAAGGACATGGCCTGGGTAGCCCGCATGCCCAAAGAGGATGGATACCTAGATCCAACTGATAGTTTAAAGCAAGGCCCAGCTGAGATTAGCCTTGATCATCTAACCCCCAGATATAGGTGCTAGGGATCAATAAATAGTAAATGATTATTGTTGTAAGCCAGTTATTTTTGGGGCATTTGTTTATGCAGCATTAGAGTAGCAACATCTGACTGATAAAGCTTTTCTACATATTATTCTTCAAGATGGACCCTGGTATGGGTTGATACTCTGATGAACTACATGAGACATGCATTTTTATAACTGGAGAACAAAAGATGTAATTGCCTACCATGTGCTTCCACTTATGACCACTTCCCAGTAATGCCGGCCACTATCAATGAACACATTTCCAGCTACGCCATAGCTCCCTTGGCTGGTGAAGCGTTCAGGAGTGTGACTCTTTTTGGACGATGACTCATCACGTTCTACTGTCAAGTTATCGTGGGACACCTTTAACTTCCGATGTGCAGATTTAGGGTCCAGTTTAAATGGTTGGCCTAGAAACAAGTTTATAAAACAAAAAGAGGACGAGATAAAGGACTGTTCATTTTAACATGACCAATAATATATTTTCAGAATCACATTAAAAAAGCACAAATAGTGAAGACGAACATGTCCCTGCCTTCACGAGCTCCCATTCTGTCGGTCACACGACAGGGAGGCAGAGGTGCTGTGCTACCTATGTAATGACAGCAGGGGTGAGGAGCAAACAGCACATGCGCTAAGAGCTCTCTGCACGGACGCCAGCCGATGCAAGCGGTGCGGGTACATCCTAGCTGAACGGCATCCCCGAAGAGAAGAGAAAAGGAAGGCTTCATTTCCAACCATTTCATGTTCAATCCAGCATAAAATGTGTTTGTGCTCAAACAAATCAAGAGTTGAGATTGTAACGTACAGAACATTGTAAAAGCTCATTATTCTGAGATAGCTGAAAATTAAAACATTAAGCTTATGAGCTTCAAATCACTATAAAATTGTGTTTTTCAGCTCACAAGATCATGGAAAAATGTGACTGTTAATACCTAGGTCTTCTACTCCTGCGTTTATTTATGTACATAATAAAGCCCTTTCTATTTCATTATTCACATTGGTGTTTTGAAAATTGAACCATTATAAAATCTTGGCAGAAATTACACGTGAACATCTTGTCATGGCTGTTACTTCTTTGAGAATCCAACGCTGGCTTGGAGGGCTGCCTGTCATTCAGCACCATATCAGGTACAAGGCATTTAAAGTCAGGAAATGACTTACAACCTAATGCAAACATCATAGTGTCCAGATGCAGCCCCTGGTGCAGCTGGTAGGCCCACTCTTACACAATCTCAGGAAAAGGTTTGGTAAACTTGACTGTGGCTATACATAATGCTGGCTGAGAAACTGACGCACTGAGCAGGGGGCAGCATGTGATGTCACATGCTGGTAGGCCAAAGGAGTTACACAAGCTGCTTTGATATAAACACACACCAGCGCCTCTAAAATCCTTTCTTTTAGATGAGGGACCAGCACACGTTTTGTGCAAGGGGCATGATAGTAAATATTTTCAGCGATGCTGGCCATGTGGTCTCTTCTGTGGCTATTTAACTGTGCTACTTTAGCATGGAAGCAGCCAAAGACAATAGGTAAATGGTTAGGTATGGCTGTGTGCCAGTAAAAGTTTATTTTCAAAAAAACAGGCAGCCAAATTTGGCCCACGGGCTGTAGTCTAACCAGTGCTAGATTTCTGTCCATATCAGAGAAAAACTTAAAGGAGGAGCTGAGCAAATCCTCAAGTGACGAGCAGGGAGTGAGTCTCTCAGAGGCTCTAAAAGACCTATTGGATTATGTGTATAGTTGAAATTTTGGCTGGTCTTAGGAAAAAAAATCATGTCCTCAGGAATGATCACATCAGAACTATTAGGGATAAAGTATGAACTAAGACAGGAATATAAAGATAATTTTGCTTAAAATGTTTCAATTTTTAAAGGTGGAAGGTAGAATATATGTAAAAATTACTGGACACAGATGGGTGGATTTGGAAGAAATTCCCCAAAGGCACCCATCATTGAAAATGAAGGCCATATTCTGCTAGCCCTTCTTCCAGAGAGGAGTATTAGCATGTTATGGCCATCAGCAAGATGGGCCTCACAATGGTGAGATGCACCCTGCTTGCCCAAGCTCATTTCCTCAGCTACACACGCACGGAGCAGGAGCGTGCCAGCTGAGGAAGGCCGGGCCCCTGCGGCCTCACAGAGCAAATTCCATCTGTGCCTCAGATGTGTTTCTCAAATAAACCATCACCTACTCTGCCCAAGTTCAAGGCTTTTGCTTCAAGAAGGACAAATTAGTTCAAGGAACAAATTGATCATTTACTTCACTGCAGAATTTAACTCATTGTAACATTTGTACACACGGGAGTTTGGTAAACTACAGCCCACAGGCCAAATCCAGCCTATTGCCTGTGCTTGTCAATAAAATTTTATTGAAACATGGCCTTGCCCATTCACTTGGGTTATCTATGACTGCTTTTGCATTACAAGGCAGAGTTGAGTAACTGCAACGCACATTACAGAAAAGTCTGCCAACCCCTTGTCTATTCTTGAAAACATCTGATCAATAGCTATAATGCTAGAAATAAAAGATGACATTATCTATCTCTATGGAGTGAATAAACCATCTTTAGTAAAAGTGATGAGGCACAAATACTGATGTGTCAAAGATGTATTCTACAGAATTAACCTCAGTATATGTGTTCACTCATTTCCCTCCCCCCCATTTAACCCCTCAAAATATTTCCTTTTTTACCCAGAGAAACACTGAGAGGAGAGATCAGCTTAATGTTTAAGAATATGTATCTTCAACACATACATCTGGAGTAAAATAAAGTTACTTGACTTACAATCAAGGACTTGGTTTAAATGAGAGCTCCTCTTAAAAAGTAGTTAATTATTCCTGTTAACTGGCAGGCAACCCTGTGCATGGTGCCATCCTGGCACACTCTAACTTGCTTTCTCTTGGGAGGTCTTAGGCAAAGAAATACTGTGTTCTGTGACAGTTTGTAGACCAAAAGACGTAAGGAAAGGAGAGAAAAGGGCAGAGACAGAGGGAGACCACAGAGTTACGAGATGCACAAATAGGGCAGATCTTTCTTTGCCATGGGGGGGCGGTCCTGGGTATTATGGGACACGTCCCATTATTCCCCACCACTAGACACCAACCAGTGGCCTCCACCCCAGCTGTGAGAACCGGAAATGTCTCCTGATGCCACTCTATGTCCCTCAGAGGGGCAGAATCACCTCTGATGGAGAGCCCCAGACCTAGATATGCAGCTGGAGTGAAAGACAGCATTCCTGCACACAGTGTTACTAACGTGCTCCTCTGCTAGGGAACGATGCCACCTGCCATTCACCGAGCCCCAGCTGTGTGTCAGGCCTTTAAGGGGTGGAGTCGGTTTTGGAATGCAGAGGTCTCCGCTACAAAACCCAATACTCCGCACTGGCTCTTCACTTGCTTTTTGAGGCTGCCAGTGATGCCTGGGACAGAGGAAAAGGAAAGGGCAGGGGAATGGAGGCACTGGAAGGCTGGCAGATGACAGACGACACTTCTGCTGAGCAGACAGCACTTACTGTTTGTCTTCAACTTGCCAGGCTCACTGCTGCGGCTGCCCGCCTGGTTGATGGCCTTGACAACGAAGATGTACTTAGTGCCGCTCTGCAGACCATGGACCGTGTAGTGGTTCTGCTTGATGTTGGGCACAATCATCCAGCTGTCCGCTGAGTTACACAGACCTGCAAAGCCAACCAGACATGGTGCAAGTCTCTGGCATAAGCACAGGGCAATGTTTGCGTAATGTCAAGGTTGCATAATGTTAGGTTATTTGACCTGTAAGTAGAGTGTTTTGTCACTTCTCTGGGAGACCACCAATAAACTCGAGTGCTCAGTGTCCCACCTATGGTACGAAGTCAACCTACATTTATTAGTATATATTCCTACTGTTGCTCTAGATGGAAAAATCATTTAAAATGATTGTATTGCAAAATCTGTTCCGTACGAATAGGAACAGCAAAGATGGTTCTGCCCCGGACCCTGCACACAGTGTATGTGCTCAGTGTGTGGCTAGGAGCTGTGGGATGAAAAGAGAGCATGAGCCCTCACCCTGCAGCCTCACCTCTCCTCTCACTTGGATGATCATGAACTTTTGGACCTCATCGATTCTGAGACTCACAGATGGTGAGGAGAGACCCAAGTCACGTATGAGACTTGGCTAACGCAGAGGCAGGAGATTGCATCGTGGCCTCTAATTCTTCACCCTGCCCTGGCTCCAGGCCCAAGTGTCTCTGCAGTCACTCCCTTTAAAGAAATGGGATGTAGTCCCTCAGCACATAGCTTTGGCTTAACACATGCCACTTGCTTTGGCCAATAGGATGAGGCTGAAGTGTAACATGCCAGTTGCAAGAGCAGGTATCAGGCGGCCTTGAGAGTTCCCATTGCCCCCTTGTGCCTCTGCCACTGCCCCACGAGAACATTCCCCAGGGAGTCTGCTTGGCCCAGTGTGAGGAGACACACAGGCAGCGGCCTCATTGCCCAGCCAAAGTGAGGGAGGTCGGCAGAGACTGGCCGATTCAACCCAGCTTCTGACGGGGGTGCTAGGAGAAAGACCACCGGGGTCATGCCCAGCATCAGTGTGGCCGCAGTTAACTGATCAAGAGACCTGTGCCTGAGAGAACCCTGGGGCGGTGGCGCCTACGGGCAGCTGACGGCCCAGCGTGGAGCCGAGAAAAGGCCACCAGGCTGGCTTCAGAGCGCAGTGGGGTTGCCGCCTGCTGCACTCGGCAGGGTGTGGGCTGCAGAGCAGGCTGAGGATTTACAGTGCTTGGAAGCAGGCGTTGGAAAAAGGAAGCGCATTTTGTTTTGCAGCTGGCTGATGCTGAAAACATCCCTTTGGTAGTGGGCCTGACTCTCCTCTTCCCTCGCCTCTCATCAATCTCTACTCTGAGAGAATTCTCCCCCAGTCCCCTGGTGTCAGGCTGTCAGGAAGTTTCCTGACTCTGGCGAGTTTCCTTCACCAGTTCTCGGTGGAGAGCTGGGCCCCTGCACTTCCTGAGGGATTCTGAACTCGCCTCCCCGCCTTTCCTTCCAGTGCATTTGCAAGTCAAGGCTTAGTTCCTTTGATCTCGGGCAACTTGTACCTTCCCATACTCCAGAGGGGCAGTCCCTTCACCTTTCTTTGCTCTCACCTCTTTGAGAATCTAATAAAACATTTCTGCAGAAAGAAGCTCACAAATGGATATCCATACCAACTCACAAACATTTGCAAAGTATTTCAAGATATTCACGGCTCCATGACATCTGTCTTTGAATCCTACCACACTCTTTCCAACTACTGACGTTAGCATTGTTCATGGTAGTCCCACAGTTGAGAAGAGCTTACAAGTATTTTGTCAATTGTGAAAGTTCGCCTCCTCATATGATGTGTACCTTGGGTGCAGAGTATTTTCAGGCACACTCCAGTCTTCAGAAAACCCAACCAAGGAAACCAACAAAAGATAGATGTATCTTTGACCTTGTGATTTTTCTACTACCTCTTTTCATTCCCCCCCGTGAACATTTCAGCAGGAGGACTGCCAGATTGGACGAAGCCAGCCTCAAGGAAATAACGTGAGAGCCGCAGAAGGTGTCGAGTGCCTGCGCGGCCATGTTTGGAGATGTCTGGTGCCACTCCGGCATGTCCCACCCCACACTTCCCCGACTCTTAGGCCTCTGTGCTCCCACCACTTCAAACTTGTGTAAGACCCTGGGAAATACCCACAGAGAGTTTCGCAGCAGGGACTCTTCCTCCTCCATCGCCCTTTTGCACTTTGTCACCCTACTTTCTGTTTTTTCCTCACTGTTCCTTGAGCACAGCTGTAATAACCTCAATACTTGCAGACAGTGCCACAGTCGAAGAGTGGATTTTGGTCCAACCAGAGAAGGGTCATTTTGAACTCATGAGGTCTGGGCCCCAAGAAGCCAGTAACTCACTTTAGATATTTAACACTAACATTACAATGGGAATAAAACAAAACCCAATGAGCTTTTCCATTGCCTAGGATAATCCACTCATATTCCTAGACCTTTGTCAACAGCAGTCAGGAGCGAATGAAAACAGAACAGCATTCATAGAATCCAATGAGAATCCTATCAATGTCACCGCCTTTATACCGTTCCTGTTTAATTGCCTGTGTTACAGTAAAATGCCTATTGTGGTCAAAGAGAGCAAATGTAAAAATGTTTCCATAAATTTCACATCACTGTACAACCCCAAAAGCTGGGTTTAATGTGGTGGGGGAAGACTTTCAGCAACATCATAAAGCAGATGTCTGCAACTTCCACAAACTGCAACTTGCCCTACAATCCGAAGTCTTAACCCAACAAAAAAGATTTGATGTTTCATAAACCTTTTCCAAACACAAAAGGGACCCTGACTATCCTGATTCTTTTATAGAGGTCACTGATTTTTTTCCTCAAATATTAAAAGAACGAAATGTTTATGGAGTAGTAAAATTTGATTGGGTAGCTTTCACTGGGACAATCTGCTCTCATGAATACTATTACTGTTAGGCTTACCTTTATATTATTATTGCCATGGTAATAATTGAAAAGTTGATTAAAAATGCCCAGAAAGCAACACTGGCCATTTTCTTTTGGGGGCTGGAGTAAGCGGGGTGCCTCTGAGCACACCATCATCGCACAGCTAGTGCTGGTCCTGCGCCAGCACCACTTAACTTCTTGCACACGGCACCAAGCTCCAGACTTGACTGCCTCGTGATACCCCACTGTGTCGGGCCCGTTGACCAGGTTTTATTTGTCTCTTTATGAAACACCTGTATAACCATCCTGACTGAAACGTCACTTGTCTCCAAATTCTTTTTCCATCATCTTTGAGGGTATTCCAATTTGAAGTATTAGAACTACAATGGAACTTGGAAGATACTTAAGTTTATAATGGAACTTAACTGAATTTTTTGATTTTGTACATTTTCCCCTCACTCACAATGGGTCCGATGCATTTCCCTGCATAAGGCTGTAGTAACTGAGGGGGTCCAATCACTATAAGATCCTCAGTACATTTGGGATTACAGACCTTTATACAGCAATTGCCATCTCGCAGTAAAACATAATATATATTATGCAACATGGACATCCTTTGGAGAGGCTGCACACCAGCTTCTAACGCCCTTTGTCTCTCCAAACAGACTGGACAAAAGTGAACACTTTTTTTCCTTCTCTGTAAAAATAGTGGATGTTTAATAACTTTCAGGAATGTTTTCAAAATGACTAAAATAAATTAAATACAGATAACGACTTTGCCATGAAGGCTTGAAGAAACACATCTTTTGACTTTTGCTAATAATAATAAAAGGCTGTGGTAAGAGGCCCCAATTTAAAATTTGAAATGATGCTTTTAAAGTAGTTTTGGAAAAAACATGGAAAACATTGTAAAGTGAAACACTTATCTATTTATTAATAAGCAATTCATTAACATCAGTAGTCATGTTAATGAAAATGAAAAATAAAAAGCTAATAATGTCATTAATTTTGCATTTGAATGTGTGAATTTGAATAGTGAGAGCCTTTTTATAAGAATAGAGAGCTCCATAGATGTTATCGAATTCTCCTTCACTGAAGTCAGTTGAGGACAATTAAGTAGAATTTATGATGACAAGTGAAGAAAGCATGACCAGGACAGTAAAAAATTTCCTAGTGACATGAGGAGGAGCTGTAGCCAGTTTTTGAGCATAATGACTACTAATTTTCAGTAGACTTTTACTGTTAGATCTTGTCATTCAATATAACATCTGCAAAGGATATTCCTCCAAATGGGATGGAGGGCAGATGGACAAAGAACACTCAAGGAAGGCCTTTCAAGTGAAGATTGTGTAAAATGCCATCATGGAGATGATCGTGGCAAATTTCACAACAAACCTTTATCATATGATGAAAAAGACCAGCTTCTTAAAAAGAAATGCAGTGGTAGGTGAGTATAGTTGGTTTTTGTAAGAATAGTAACTTTGAATACTTCTATGCTAACACTGTGGCAAACACAGAATTAAGATCTTTACTTTTATTACCTTGACCACCTGAAATTAAAACATTACCTCTTCTTACTGATGAGGAAACAGATTCAGAGGACATGAAATCATCTGCCCTGAATTATAAAGCTTGTGGGGCCCAAAGCTGGGATCCAAATCCACGTCTCCCTCAGTTACTACAAATGTGTAACAGAAGAAGAAAATAATTTGAGGATGTTTGTATCTCATTGACCTTTTGATCTTGATTTACTCTTTCATTGTTGCGATTTGATCCCTTAGGTGTCAGGACTTCCCTACATTGGTTTAATGGACATTCAAGTCACAAACAAATCCTGATGCTAACAAGCTGATGGGAGCACCCCAGTTAGACATGCGCCTCCAGCTTCACTGTTTGCCATCGAGCCTGGGAGAACAGGCCTTTTCGGTGTCTGTGCGTTAAATAAAGAACGTCTGTAATCTTCATTAAGCCATCTGCATTTATTTTCTTGTCACAACTGCTTTTGGAACAAAACGCCTTCCCTGGCATCACCCAGCATAAAGCTCTGGGTTCAGTAGTGTTGCTATTATTGGCTTTCTATGGGCATGGCATTTTCTCATCTATTCCATTTATATGTCTTGTTCTGGTATTATTTTCTATGCCAACAACATGGAAGTCAAGTTAGTTAGTCACAGTTTAGCCACCTGGAAAACCCTAAGTTTCAAGCAATAGACATCTT